ATGCCCCTCTATCTCTGATAACTTTCCTTGCTCTGAAGTCTGCTCTGTCAGAAATTAATATAGCTACTTCTGCTTTCTTTTGATTAGTGTTAACATGGTATATATCTCTCCATCCCTTTACTTTTAATCTATATGTGTCTTTATGTTTAAAGTAGGTTTCTTGTAGACAACATATAGTTGGGTTTTGTTTTTTGATCTACTCTGTCTGACAATCTCTGTCTTTTAGTTGGTGTATCTATACCATTAACATTTAAAGTGATTATTCATATAGTTGGATTAATATCTACTACATTTTTTACTGTTTTCTATTTATTGCCCTTCTTTTTTCCTATTTTTATCTTTTACTATTCTTCTGCCTTTTGTAGTTTTAATTGAGCATTTTATATGATTCCATTTTCTCTTCTTTCTTAGCATATCAGTTATACTACTTTTTTTCTTTTACTTTTTTTAGTAGTTCTAGAGTTTGCAATAAACATTTATAACTAATACAGATCCACTTTCAAATAACACTATACCAGTTCATGGGTAGTGCAGATACTTTGGAATAACAATCCTAATTCCTCCCTCCCATTCCTTGTATCATTGCTGTCATTCATTTCACTTATACATGTCAAGCATACATAAACATATTTATGTATGTAAGCATACATAATTGAATACATTGTTGCTATTATTATTTGAACAACTCCTGTTAGATCAAAAATAATAAAAATAAAAGTTTTTATTTTACCTTCACTTATTGCTTCTTTGCTGCTCTTCCTTTCTTTATGTAGATCTGAGTTTCTGACCTATATTATTTTCCTTTTCTCTAAAGAACTTCTTTTAACATTTCTTTTGTGTGTGTGTGTGTGTGTGTGTGTGTGTGTGTGTGTAAGATCAGCCCTGAGCTAACATCCATGCCAATCCTCCTCTTTTTGCTGAGGAAGACTGGCCCTGGGCTCACATCTGTGCCCATCTTCCTCCACTTTATATGGGACGCTGCCACAGCATGGCTTGACAAGCAGTGCCTCGGTGTGCACCCAGGATCCGAACCCGGGCCGCCAGCAGCGGAGTGTGCGCACTCAACTGCTATGCCACAGGGCCAGCCCCTTTTAACATTTCTTTTAAGGCAGGTCTGGCAACAAATTCTCTCAATTTTTGTTGGTTTGAGAAAGTCTTTATTTCTGCTTCATTTTTGAAGGATAATTTCACAGGGTGCAGAATTCTAGTTTGGTGAGTTTGTTTCTCTCAACACTTTAAATATCCACTTCCTTCTTGCTTGTATGGTTTCTGAGCAGAAGTTGGATGTAATTCTTATCTTTACACTTCTATAGGTAAGGTGTTTTTATTCTCTGGCTTATTTAAAGATTCTTTTCTTTATTTTTTTTTTGAAGTTTAAATATGATATGCCTAGGTATAGGTTTGTTTGTAGTTTTTTTAGGGGGGTGGAAGTGGGGGTGCTTTATCCTGTTTGGTGTTCTCTGAGCTTCCTGGACCTGTGGTGTCTGACATTGATTTGGGAAAATTCTCAGTCATTATCGCCTAAAATATTTCTTCTTTTCCTTTTTTTCTTCTCCTTCTGATATTCTCACTACATGTGTGTTAAGCCTTTTTTAATTGTTCCACAGTTCTTGGATATTTTGTTCCTTTTTTTTTTTTCCTTTCCCTTTGCTTTTCTATTTTGGAAGTTTCTATTGACATATCCTCAAACTCTGAGATTTTTTCCTCAGCCATGTTCACCACACTAATGAGCCGATCAAAGGCATTCTTCACTTGTGTTACAATGTTTTTTTTCTAGCATTTCTTTTTGATTCTTTCTGAGAATTTCCATCTCTCTGCTTACATCGCCCTTCTGTTCTTGCCTGCTGTCTACTTCATCCATTAGAGCCCTTAGTATATTAATCATAGTTGTTTTCAATTCCCTGTCTGGTAATTCCAACATCCTTGCTGTATCTGAGACTGGTTCTGATGCTTGTTCTGTCTCTTCAAACTGTGTTGTTTGCATGTAGTATGCCTTTTAATTTTTTCTTGATAGCCAGACATGATGTATTGGGTAAAAGGAACTGCAGTAAATAGGCCTTTGGTAAAGTGGTGGTGAGGTATGAGTGGAGGAGAAGCCTTCTTTTGTCCTATGATTTGGTCTCAGTCTTTTAGTGAGCCTGTGCCGCTGAACTGTAAACTAACTTCACAAGTGCTTCTCAGTCCCCAATCCCCCTTAGATGGGAGAGGACTGCTAGAATGTGTTGGAGTTGGCTATTTCCTTTCCCCCATGTGGAAGGCTAGAGCTAGCTGGAGTTGGGCATTTCCTTCCTCCAGCTTGGTTAGGCTCTGATAAAATCCCAATAGTTTAGGCTTTGGTAAAAATAGTTTCTCTGGAGGGCAGGCCTTGTTAAGAACAGAATGCTCTGGGTATTTCAAAATGGTTCCTTTTCTCCTCCCCCTGCTGGTAGTCACTGTGAGAACCTGGTTAAACTCCTGGAGGTAAAACACAAAAGTTTGTCAGCCCCCGTGGGATTTTTATCTCTTAGACTTGTCCATGCTGAGCCCTCAGCAATTCATCAGTTACACTTCAGGTTTTTCTCCCCTGGCACTGGTTCCCGTGGGAGTTTCTGCTTGTGGGTTTCTGTTTTGGTAAGGTGTGATTCTCTGTATCTGCTTGTTGATCTCTCCAATTTTGAGGACAGCAGTTTGCCCTCCGACATCACTTCTCTGATGGATCTAAGAAGAACTCTTGATTTTTCAGTTTGTTGAGCTTTTTACTTGTTGTAAGGAAGGAGTGATGACTTCCAAGCTCCTTACATACTGGCCATTATAAGTTTTCAGTATTTGAAAGAAAAATAACTATTTTATTGTTGTATTGATATACTTTTGTGATCATCATTTATGTACCATAATTCAATCACTCTACTATCATTGAACATTTAGGTGCTATGACTTTTCCCTTACTTTTTATTTATACTTAAGTACTTAAAATTATTCTTTGTGTACTTAAAATTATTCTTCTTTTGGATTATTTTCTTCTTCTATCCAAAATTTACATCCATAATCCTCAATCCCAAACTCTATTTTAAAAATGTCTATAGTAGTCATAACGGATTGGATCTTTTGGTGGGGAGGCAGGGTGGCGGGGGGCGGGGAGAGATGGGGATTAGTCGTCTTTCCACAGCTTCAAGTCATTGCGCCGATTGAAATGGAAAATTTCTGAGTATCGTAGGAAGTTGCCTGTTGAAGTAACTAAAGTCACAATCCTCTCTCTCTACAAAAGAAATAAGTAGTCCTGAGACTGGGAGGGCTTTTCCTGAAACACTGGTGATGGGCATTTCTAAAATGCAAGTTCTTAATGACAGAAAGAGAAAGGTCAATTAACTTCTGTTAACCTATAAGAAATTATATTCTACACTGTGCAACTTAAATTTCCCCTTTGTTTCACCTGAATTAAACTTCTCTCCATGCTAACGGTGCCAAGTGTAACTTAGTGATAAAAATTTACAAGTGTCTTCCACTAAAACTGCTATGTTACAGATGTGCCTTGTTGCTTTGATGTTGTTCATGCACAGGTCCTCTGCACTCTTGCTTGCCTTTGGTGCCCCCCACTTTCCCTCCCCGTGCACTTCCATCTCCTTGCTCCTCTTCATCATTTCCTCCCTTCATAATGTTCCCATGTTCCCCAGAGAAAACCTGACTGGATAAAAATCATTGAAAATAGCATAAATAGAATAATTTGCATTTTAAAAGGGATGAAAATAGTGTGACACAAAGGAGTGAAATGCTAATGGTGTAATCTCAGATAGGAAAAGTCTCAAATCATTTCACATATGCTAACCTCCAGTTATTCTTAAAATGGAAAAAAAGTCAATTATTACCTCTGTATTTATTTGAACATTTCATAGTCTGGAAAATGAGGAGAGTGAAGGAAAATTTTTCAAGTGACTAAATCTTTGCAAACAGATTAGTCTGCGAAACAGTGTTTGTGGAGGGGGCAGGTCAAGACTGATTTTTGTTAAACAGAGACCTTTCTGAAAATCACTTCTAAATTTTTATTTAAATTTTTTAAATTAAATAAGATATACATAAATAAATATTCACGTACAAAGTTAGAACATCACGGATAAACCTAGTCTCCTTTAAACATTACTCTTTCCCAATCCTGGTCCTTCCACCATTGCCCAGAGATAGCCATTATTAGCCGTTGTTATGAGTTTGGTATGTGTCCATTCTTTAAAAAAAAAACAGCTTTATTGAGGTATAATTGTCATAAAAACAACTACACATATTTAAAGTGTACAATTTGATAAGTTTTGACATATGTATATACCTCTGAAACCATCACCACAAGCTCTACATGGTGAACATCTCCATTATCCCCAAAAGTTTACTCATTTCCCTTTGTAGTCTTTCTTCCCTCCCCGTCTTTGATCCCAGGCACCCATTGGTCAGCTTTCTGTCCCTATAGATTAGTTTGCATTTCAATAGGTTTTTATAAATAGAGTCATACAATATGTACTCTTTTTTTTTACCTGGCCTCTCTCAGTGTAACTACAGGCATACCTTGTTGTGTTGTGCTTCGCTTTATTGCACTTCGCAGATATTGTGTTTTTTACAAAGTTAAGGTTTGTGCCAACCCTGCATCAATCAAGTCTATCGGTGCCATTTTTCCAACAGCATTTGCTCACTTCATGTCTCTGTGTCACATTTTGATAACTCTCGCAATATTTCAAACTTTCTCATTATTATTATTATATTTGTTATTGTGATCTGTGATCAGTGATCTTTGACATTAGTCTTGTAATTGTTTTTGGGCACCATGAACCATGCCCATATAAGATGGTGAACTTAATCTATAAACGTTGTGCGTATTCTGACTGCTCCACTGATCAGTGTTCCCCCATCTGTCTCCCTCTTCTTGGGCTTCCTTATTCTCTGAGACACAACAATATTGAGTTAGGCCAATTAATAACCCTACAATGGCCTCTAAGTAGTCAAGTGAAAGAAATAGTCACATGTCTCTCATTTTAAATCAAAAGCTAGAAGTGATTAAGCTTAGTGAGGAAGGCATGTAGAAAGCCAAGATAGGCTGAAAACTAGGCCTCTTGAGCCAAACAGTTAGCCAAGTTGTGAGTGCAAAGGAAAAGTTCTTGAAGGAAGTTAAAAGTGCTACTCCTTATTGCTGATACGGGGAAAGTTTTAGTGGTCTGTATAGAAGATCAAACCAGTCACAGCATTCTCTCAAGCCAAAGCCTCATCCAGAGCAAGGCTGTAACTCTCTTCAATTCTTTGAAAGCTGAGAGAGGTGAGGAAGCTGCAGAAGGAGAGTTCGAAGCTAGCAGAGGTTGGTTCATGAGGTTTAAGGAAAGAAGCCATCTCCTTAACATAAGAGTGCAAGATGAAGCAGCAAGTGCTGATATAGAAGCTGCAGCAAGTTATCCAGAAGATCTGCTAAGATATTAATGAAGGTGGCTACACCAAACAACAGATTTTCAGTGTAAATGAAACAGCGTTATATTGGAAGATGCCATCTAGGACTTTCATAGCTAGAGAGGAGAAGTCAATGCCTGGCTTCAAAGCTTCAAAGGACAGGCGGACTCTCTTGTTAGGGGCTAACGCAGATGGTGACTTGGATTTGAAGCCAATGCCCATTTACCATTCCAAAAATCCTAGGGCCCTTAAGAATTTTTAAGCCCACTGTTGAGACCAACGCTTAGAAAAAAAGAGTCCTTTCAAAATATTACTGCTCATTGACAATGTACCTGGTCACCCAAGAGCTCTAATAGAGATGTACAATGAGATTAATGTTGTTTTCATGCCTGTTAACACAACATCCATTCTGCAGCCCATGGATCAAGGAGCAATTTTGACTTTTAAGCCTTGTTACTTAAGAAATACATTTTATAATGTATAATGTATGGCAGCTGTGGCTGCCATAGATAGTGATTCCTCTGATGGATTTGTGCAAAGTAAATTGAAAACCTTCTGGAAAGCATTCACCATTCTAGATGCCATTAAGAACATTCATGATTCATGGAAAGAGGTCAAAATATCAACATTAACAGGAGTTTGGAAGAAGTTGATTCTAGCCCTCATGGATGACTTTGAGGGGTTCAAGACTTCCGTAGAAGAAGTAACGACAGATGTGGTGGAAATAGCAAGAGAACTAGAATTTAGAAGTAGAGCATGAAGATGTGACTGAATTGCTACAGTATCATGACAAAATTTTAATGGATGAGGAGTTGCTTCTTATGGATGAGCAAAGAAAGTGGTTTCTTGAGATGGCATCTACTCTTGGTGAAGATGCTATGAAGATTGTTGAAATAACAAAGAATTTAGAATATTACATAAACTAGTTGATAAAGCAGCAGCAGGGTTTGAGATGATGGACTCCAATTTTGAAAGAAGTTCTGCTGTAGGTAAAGTGCTATCAAACAACATCGCATGCTACAGAGAAATCATTTGTGAAAGGAAGAGTCAATCGATGTAGCAAACTACATTGTCGTCTTATTTTAAGAAATTGCCACAGCCGCTCTAGCCTTCAGTGACCACCACCTTGATCAGTCAGCAGCCATCAACATCGAGACAAGACCCTCCACCAGCAAAAAGACTCCTACTCACTGAAGGCTCAGATGATGGTTAGCATCTTTTAGCAATAAAGTATTTTTTTAATTAAGGTGTGTACATTTTTTAGATGTAATGCTATTGCACACTTAATAGAGTACAGTATAGTGTAAACATAACTTTTATATGTACCGGGAAAGCAAAAAATTCAGGTGACTCGCTGTATTGTGACACTCACTTTATTGTGGTACTCTGGAACACAACCTGCAATATCTCCAAGGTGTGTCTGTATTTTGAGATTCATCTGTGTTGTTATGTGTATCAATAGGTCATTCTTTTTATTGCTGAGTCATATTCCATTGTAAAGATATACCACAATGTTTTTACCCATTTACCTGTTGATGGAAATTTTGGTTGTTTCTAGTTTGAAGCTATAAATAAAGCTGCAGTGAACATTTGTGTACAAGCCTTTGTATGGACATGTGCTTTTCAAAAACTTGGGTAAATACATAGAATAGCAAGATCATGTGGTAGATGCATATTTAAATTTTTAAGAAACTGCCAAATGGTTTTCCGAAGATGTTGTACCTCTTAACATTGCAACCACCAAGGTATGAGAGTTCCAGTTCCTCCATATCCTTGCCAACTCTCAATATGGTCAGTCCTTTAAATTTTAGCCATTCTAACAGGTGTTAAGTAATATCTCTTTATGGTTTTAATTAGAGTTTCCAAAAGACAACTGATGTGGGCATCTGTTCAAATGCTGATTTGCCATCTTCTTTGATGAATTGTTTCTTTGAATGTTTTGTCCATTTTTTTATTGGATTTTCCCTTATAATTAAGCGTTGAGAGTTCCTTTTATATTTTGGATAAAAGTCCTTTGTCAAATACAAGCTTTGCAAATATTTTCTCCCAGTAGTGGTTGGTCTTTCCACTATTCTAACAGTTTCTCTAGAAACGTTAAGAGTTTTGAAATTTGATGAAGTCCAGTTTTTCAATTTTTTTCTTATAGTATTTTTGGTATTGTACCTAAGAAATCTTTGCTTAACCCAGATAAGAAATCTGTTGTCATCCTTATTTTTGTCCCTCTGTATTGCGTCTTTTCTCCTGTGGCTGTTTTAAGATTTTGTCTTTATTCATGGCTTTGAGCATATTGATTATGCTGTGCTTTGGTGAAGTTGTTTTCATGTTTCTGGTGCTTGGGGTTCATTGAGCTTTTTGAATCTGTGGGTTTAAGCCTTTCATCAAATTTGGAAAGCTTTCAGCCATTATTTCTTCAAACATTTTTTGGTCCCCCTCCCTTTTTCCATTCCAGGGATTTCAGTTATATGTGTATTAGGGGACTTGAAGTTGTCTCACAGTTCTTTTTATTTTTTATTAAAAAAAAGTTTTTCTGGGGCCAGCCCTGCGGCATAGTGGTTAAGTGCGCACACTCCACTGCTGGCGACCCGGGTTCAGATCCTGGGTGCGCACCGAGGCACTGCTTGTCAGGCCATGCTGTGGCGGCATCCCATATAAAGTGGAGGAAGATAGGCACAGATGTTAGCCCAGGGCCAGTCTTCCTCAGCAAAAAGAGGAGTATTGGCATGGATGTTAGTTCAGGGCTGATCATCCTCACACACACAAAAAAAATTTCTCTCTCTGAGTTTCATGTTTGATACTTTCGATTGCTATATCTTCAAGTCAATCTTTTCTTCTGCAAAATATTATCTGCTATTAATCCATTTTTTATCTCAGTATAGTTTTAATCTCTGAAAGTTCTATTTTGTTTTTTTTAATATTTTCCAAGTCTCTACTTAGCTTGTTGAACCTATGGAATACAGTTATAATAAAAGTTTTAATGTCCTTCTCTGTTAATTCTGGGTCAGTTTCAACTGACCACTTTTTCTCCTCATTATGAGCCTCTATTTTCCTACTTCTTGCAAGCCTGGTAATCTTTGTATCCCAGACGTTGTGCATTTAGAGCTTGTTGAGTACTGGTTATTTTTGTATTCCTATAAATCTTTTTGAGCTTCTTGAGATGCAGCTAAGTTACTTGAAAAGAGTTTGATTCTTTCGTGTCTTGTTTTTAAGTTTTGTTAGGTGGAACTGGGGCAGTGCTTGCTCAGTCTAGGGCAAATTATTCCCCACCACTGAGGTAAGACCCTTCTGTGTACTCTATCAAATGCCCATGAATTATAAGGTTTTTTCCCAGTCTGGTTGATAGGAACAAGCACTATTACTGCCCTGAGTGAGCACCCTCTAACCCTCTCACATATTACCTCTAATCCTCCTTTCCCCAGCCTTGGATAATTTCCAGTATGAAAGCACCCATCAGTAAGTGTTATGCTTAGTAGTCAAGGGGGACATTCTATGGATCCCTAGGGACCTGTCTGTGAAGTCTTTACAGCACTCTGACCTGTGACTTTTAGCTGGCTTGGTCTCCTCTGACTTTCAGCTACATCTCTTCAAATAAAGGGAGTCCATCAGGCTCTGCCTGGTTCCCTTTCTCTGCGCTAACTGGAAATTCTCTCAAGGCAGTAAACTGGGGCAATCATGGCAATCACCTTGTTTATATCCTAGCTCTAAGGGCACTGTCCTTCTTTGCCTGATGTGCACTGCCTTAAAAACTGTTGTTTCACATATTTTGTCTCAGTTTTTTGTTGTTATTGTTTCAGGCAGCAGAGTAAATCTGGCTCCTTTTACTCTATCTTGGCTGCAAGGCAAAGTTGACACATATCCATTTTAAAACGTTTTACATGTAGTAATAGAGAATATATAGATTGGTTTGTGTCTGCCCCTCATATCATTCTGCAACTTGTTTTTCCATTTAAAATGTTTTTGAGCTTATTTTTTTATAACTTTCTATAAGATATTCCATTGCATGATTATATTATATCACATTTATCCATTCTCCTATTGATGGACATTAGGTTTGTTTCTGATCTTTGCTATTACAAACAATGCTGCAACCAATATTCTTATGCGTGACTCCTTGTACCATGTGTAAGAGTTCCTTTAGGGAAGATACATAGTTCAGATTGCTCTCCAATGTGACCATATCAATTTATACTCCTACAGTGTATGAGGACCTGTTTCTCCACAATCTTGCCCATATTTGATATTGGCAAGCTTTTAGGTTTTTGGCAATCCGCTAGCTCATTATTGTTTTAATTTGCATTTCTCTTATTTTTAGTGAGGTTGAGTACATTTTAATATTTTTATTGGTCATTTTTGTTTCTTCCAGCAATTTTCTGTTTAGTCTTTGCCTAACCTTATATTGAATTATTTTTTATCATATTTTAATTTACTTAAATAAATGCTTAAAAATGTAGATACTAATCTTGTGTTTTATATATAAATTATAATTACATTTATTTTATATTTTATAATTATAAGATAGAATATTGCATGTATAATTAATTTATCTAAGTTTATCCTCTGTTTTATAATTTTCTATTGTCTTATGGCTTAGAAATAAAATTTTTATCTGGTTAGGTTTATCAGATTTTTTTCCATGTCTTTTGATATTTTGCCTTATGAAAGCCTTTCTTGTTACTGAAGTTATTAAGAGATTCTCTCACATTCTCTCTTAATAATTTTAAAGTTAAATGTTTTGCAGTTAGATATTTAATCTACTTGAAGCTTACATCCGTGTATAGGGTAAGGTAGGGATATAAATTGCATTATTCAAATATTTAGAAAAATATCCCAATACTATTTTTTGAACTATCCAGCTTTTCATCATTTAACTGCCTCTATCATGTAGCAAGTTCCAAAAGGATACACAAGTCTGGGTCTTGAATTTTTTTTCTGTTCCATTAATCCTTTTTTACTTTTCTTGCACCAATACTCACTGTTTTAATTACTGTTGCTTTAGACTATCTTGCTATCTAGTAGGGCAAATCCTCTCTTTGTTATTCTTTTCCAAAGTTATCTTGAATTTACCCTTCCATATGAATTTGTAATCAGTTTCATGTTCCAAGAAAATCCTGTTAGTTTGATTGGGTTGTACTGACTCTATAGATTAACTAGGAAATCATGACTATTTTTACAATATTGAGGCTTCTTATCTATTAACTTGGTATAGCGCTCTATTTAGTCAGACTTATTTTTATGTTTTTCAGCAAAGCTTTGTAGTTTTATGGAACTTATTTCTAGTTACCTTATAGATTTATTTGCTGCTGTTAATGGGATCATTTTTTTCCCAGTTGGTTTTTGTTGGCATATAGGAAAGCTGTTGGTGTCTGACATGTAGAGCTTTATCTCTCCTCTAAGCTCAATTCACTTATTAGTTCTAATAGTTTCTCAGTTGACTCACTTGGATGTAAGTCCACCATCTTGTCTTAGCTCAGAATAAATTCTAAATGACAACTTGTTAAATTAATTTTTTAATGATTGATGATTTTCTCGATTCCTGAGTCACCAACCTGAGCCTTTGTCTACATTCTGCGGGTACAAAGCACAGGAAATGGAGCTCTTGTGCCAACTATGCAATTTTTAGTTGGTCTATGATAACACTGGGTTTTCTTCTCATTTGCCCTTTTCTCCTAACAACAAAAACAAAACAAAATCTCCTCTAGCTGACTTTATTTAGTTGGGTTTCAGGTTTTAATATATAAAGTTCATCTGTTTGAATAGATTTTCTCTCAAAATCTGGAGCAAGAAATAAATTGTTATATATAAAGATATCCACTGAGAAAGCAGCTGGAAATGATGCTCAGTATAAGAGCATCTAAGATCAAGGCATCAGGACACAAGTGTGAGTGGTGAATGAGGATCTGGAGGCTGGAGGAAGATTTCTAGAATAAAAGTGCTCGCTGCTCAGCCACACCTTTTCTCCCTGTCTCTACTTTCTTCGCATCTCCCACTCCCGACCCCTGGCATTCTAAGTGTTTTTAGCAATGTACCATACTGAGAATCACCCACACTGTGCCATTCTCTTTATGGGAAACCAAACAGCACAAAAACTGTGGTTTTCTAGTTCATGCAACTTAATGGGTAAATAATTCAAAATAAGCTGGTAGTAGCAGTAGGCAAAAGAGATTTAATCTCTGGTACATAGAACGGCATTGCTTAAGCGAGAAGTAGAGGAGCCTTTAAGAACTATTCATACGTAAGTATATGCACCAGAATGCTGTGTCCCTGTCAAACAGGATTCAAATCAGCAAAAATGATATTTTACTTAAGTTTTTTAGTCCCTCTGTTATCATTTTGGAATATATCCTTTTTATGCATATATGCAAATCTACAAGGCAATCAATTTGTCTGAGACAATGAATGCTTAAAAAGGCAACAAAAGAACATTTTAAATTTTCAGATATAAGTTTCCCTCACATTTGGACAAGGATGTGAATTCAGCTCTGTAATAAATTATAGTGTATTGTAAAGATTAAATGGTCTCTTGGCCTGCATTCTCTCCTTGCTCCATTCTATTCTACACACAGCTGCCAGACTAATCCTCCAAAAACACCAATTTTCATATGCCACTTTTCAAAAACTAGCTTCTTAGCTTCCTGTTGCCTGAAAAATAGTTTCAAATGCTTTTGTCTGGCATTCAAGGCTCTCTATGATGTGGTCCTCCTAAACATTTCACTCCTGCTCATTTCTTCCACCATGTACCAGCTGTGTGATCTCGGGCTAGTTATTTAAAGACTCATCTCCCAACTGTCCCAGCAAAGTTCCCACGCATCTCCTAGGCTCACTGGCTCATTCAGCAATGTTCTGAATGGCTATTACTGGGTCCCATGCCAAGCCCTGGAATCAGGAGTCACGGGTGATGTTGCTACCACCAAATTGCATGGTCTGAGGGTGGGAACAGTGGTTCTCCAAAAGAAAACTGGGCATTATATGAAAAGTTAGATGGCAAAACAACAGAAATCAACTACAATTGCCTTAACACACTCTGGACAAAATTTAACAAATATCTGTTCCAAAAAGGAGGAGATAAACTTATTAACTCTTACTTGGGCCTCTTCCACTATATACAATTCCACATGGGTATATCAAGCAAATTCAACTGAGTGACTGTCCCATTCTGGAACCTAAGGAGTCTCCTTTAGTCCCGAATCTGTACACTACCATTGCAGTTCTAGCCACTGTTATATAGATCAGACCCTTTTGGGGAGCCCAGTTAGCTGGGTTCATCTGTACACAATGTACATACTCTGAAATAAGGAAGTATGTGGTTCAATAATATAACTTTTCATCTTAGGTTGCATAAATTTAAATAACACTAACCCAAAATGGTGTAAAATGAACAAAAACAACATATTCCATGATGAATCAAATAAAATATATTTTGAGTTGCTATTTTCCCCATTTGAAGATAACATTTCTGATAATTGTCATTATCTGTGAAAAGACACAAGACCAACAGTTTTCTCCCCACTTAAGGTGGTAGCCATGTCATGAATGAAGGTCTCAGAAATTGCCTGAAAGCTTCTATGGCAAACTGTCAGTCTGTGGGTAGTCACCGCCAAGCCACTTGGCTTCCATACATCTTCAGTGCCTTTCTTCCACACACACTCACACACATACACAAACAAGAGAGTGATAAAATCACAAATGTACAACTAACTACAGTTCTGTACCTACACTGTTAGCCACATTTAGTGTGATTCTGGAGGCGCAGGAACCAACTTTACGTCCAAGTCAGTCAACTCTTTCCCACAAAACTGAATGAAAAAACAAAGTCAGCATTTTTTTAAACCAGTGGCCACGTAGTAAAAACTGTACATCATTATCCATTCATTGAAAAAGTAAAGTCACTAGGATGGTATAAAGGTGATAACCAGTGCCTTTTAACTTTTTGACGATGAACACTTTTTCTCTAAGATTGAGAATTATCTCCACTCTCTCTGTATGACCATTACCACAGTTCTGTAGTGAAACAATATTTGCAAATCTCTCTTGATCATAAACTCCTAAGAGTCAGGGCCTTCTCACTTTGGTTTCCCCAGGACATGGCATTTTGTTTGCAGGGGGTGGGCAGAGGGGCAGTTTAAAAACTACATTAATGGATGCTACCAGTCGATCCATTGATCCATGCTATGAACAAACACTATAACAAATATTGTTCTATTTCTTGTAACAAAGGCAGTAGGAGCGTCTCTCAGTAAGTCTATTCCAAGGAAAGAATGAAAGCAGGACAGTAGCTGATTTATTTGTACCTATTATGTGACAGGTACTGGTGCAGGTATTTTTACATATATATTATTTCCTTGAACTTTTACAATCCTGCAAATTCTTACAGACTTGGAGTTTGCTAAAGTAATACAAACTCATGGTGACAAGCCCATGAGTCAAATCCAGCATGTCTGACTCCTTGATTACCAAGTTCGCTATCCCCATTTATTGTGAGTCCGAGATTCTGAAGAATTTAGGTGCTATTAAGAAATGCTGAAAAAAAAGTTCTCTTTGGGAACTCCAGTGGATGAGAATGTTTTTAAATTACTTCTTTTGTAAATTATAAAACAATAGCTCCCATTTGCATTACACTTTATAATTCACAAAGTGTATGGGAAAAATAAAGATAACGATTATGTATGGTTACAATTCATAGGAAAGGAGGTACAAGGAAATGGAATGAAAGGCAATAATAACCCACATACATGGTCGTCTCGCTTTAAAAAAACTAACCGTAGGGCCGGCCCCGTGGCTTGACGGTTAAGTGCGCGCGCTCCGCTGCTGGCGGCCCGGGTTCGGATCCCGGGCGCACACCGACGCACCGCTTCTCTGGCCATGCTGAGGCCGCGTCCCACATACAGCAACTAGAAGGATGTGCAACTATGACATACAACTGTCTACTGGGGCTTTGGGGGAAAAAATAAATAAATAAAATTATAAAATAAAAAAAAAACTAACCTTAAAATGCATTTCTGCCATCCATCTTCTATTTGATATAATAAACAATGGGGATGATAAAAAGATGAATTATAGTTCAGGGTTTTAAAAAGCAAACTAGCTTTAGAGCAATTCTTGAGGTTGTGTTGCTAACAAGGTAGCCCAACTTGATATGTGGTTCCTGACAACCTACCTCAGAAGTAATTCATAAGTACAGAAAGAACCACAAACCAAACATCAGAATGGATTCTAAGAGAAAATACCTTTAAAAAAAGTTCCCTTGCTATCAAAAGGCAGACCAAAAAGAAATTTATCCTCCCACCCACAAATTCCCCAGAAAGCTTTTATCTGGAAAGTTTTGCTCTCTTTAGACACACAGGGGGGCCACGGCATATTCCAGAGAACAAAACGCTAATCTGGAGGGTGCCATGGGCCTCAGGACTACCAAACAGATGGGGAGAGCACAAAGCAAGCTCCTGGTGACCAAGAGGGTCTGTAGACATTTGCTGCTTTCCTGCATCTTTCAGAGCTGAGTTTTTAGCCAGAGGCTGCTCCTTTATGATAAATTGCTCATATTGTACACTAAAAGCCATTACATTGTCTCTTTCAAACCAATCCCTATCTTTCTGTTTTTATGTGTGAAAGCAGACATAGTTTATTTCAAACCCTGAAGAGATTCCTATTGATTTTAACTTGCCTGTAACCTTTGTATAATTCATGATTGATGATAGATTTAATTAGAGTATAACCATCTTAAACATATTCTTAGTAAACGATTCCAATCTGTGCTCACGTAAGCAATTGGTATAAAATCCCTTTTAATAAACCGCAGTTTTTTTAAGGACCAAGTCAGCATTTCCGAGAGAACCCCAAGCTCTTTTTCTAAAGAGGCTGTGCGAGTATCAGGCGCTCTCTCTTCGCTGCTTTGTGTAGCACTTACCCTGGAGGTCATGCAGTAACTATTGCCAAAGAAAAATCAAAATAGAAATTATTAGCGTGTGCCGTCATGCAGCGGCATACTCTGCCTGAAGATCAGGAAATTGTTTAAATATCAGATCGCCGGCAGGCATCTCAGCCCAGACCTGTGTGCGGAGAGTTGTGTCTTGGCTGAGGGCGTGTTTAGGGAGTCAGGAAAGCGACCCGCGACTGCAGCCGGGTTTTAAGGCTAATAATTCCTTCGCGGTCTGTCTTGGGCAGCAATCGCGTGGGCTCCGCGGTGAGACCTGCCCAAGGGGGACCTGGGCGCGGGGCAGGAAAGACGGCCGCAGCGGGCGCTGAGGACGCCCCGGGCACCCGGGGGTCGTCCCTGTGCCCCAGCCCCGGCCCACGGCACCCCGGCTCCCGCCCAGCGCCTCTGGAGGGAGGGACGGAGCGACACGCGGAGAAGGGATTTTGCTAATTGCCAAAGCAGGAAGTGAGCGCGAGGAAGACGCGGCGGAGAGCCGGGGAGGAAGAGGAGGTGGAGGAGGAGGAGGGGCGCGCAGAGCCGGGGAGGTGTGCTCCGGGTGCGTCGGAACGGCACGACTTTCCATCCCTGCAGTCCCGCTCTCCTCCCCTGTCCCGGAGGGCGCCCAGCGCGGCTCGGGCGCTCGTTGGCCCCAGCCCGCCCCCATGGCTTCTCCGGACGACCCTCTGCGCGCAGGTAAAGTGACACCGCGCCGCGCCCTCACCTGGAGCGGGCACCGCGGGCCGGGAGCTCGCGAGGCGTCCGCGGTTGCGGCGGGGCTGTTGGGGCCGAGCCTCCCTCGGACCTCCGAGGGGCGCCCTGGGACGACTCTGGACCCCTGCGCCCGACCCGGGTCCGCGCGGGGCCGGGCAGGGGACAGCGGCGGCGCCTGGGCCCCCGAGGGCACGGCGCTAGGTCCCCCCTGCGAGAGGCTGCTATCACCGCGGGGCGCGCTGGCCGCCTGCGCCCTCCAAGGACCCCTGTCCCTCGTCTCCCCCACGCGTGCCTAAGACGCTCCTTCTCTCTTCCCACTCGGTGGACTTAGCCCCTTTGTTCTGGTCTTCGGATGCCAGGTTGAAACAAGTCCCTCTGGCAGAAAAGAGCGCAAGGGGGGTATTTCGTTTATTCCTTCCAGGCTCTCCCTTTCTCCCTACTCACGTGCCCTGCCTCACCTTTCACTCTTCCTCTCCTCATTTCACTTCTATCAAATGGTTTTATTCTAAATATTGGCCCTCCGAGCTATTTCAAGAACTAGTATCCACAAAACCAAGTGGCTGATCCCGCCTATGGGATCCCACCTGTGGGATCCCAGCTGTAGTGCCTTTGATTAGAATGGCCCCTAGGGCCAGCCCAGTGGCACAGCGGTTAAGTTCGTGCCTTCTGCTTCCGTGGCCGGGACCCCCAGTTCGGATCCTGGTCGCGGACCTACTCACCGCTCATCAAGCCATGCTGAGGCGGCGTCCCACATAGAAGAGCCACAACTCTACAACTGTGATACACACCGTGTACTGGGGCTTTGGGGAGAAAAAAAAAAAGTGGAAGATTGGCAACAAATGTTCCTGCAGGGTCACTCTTCCTCCAAAAAAAAAAAAAAAAGAATGGCCTCTAGTTCTGTCCTTATTTTAAAATATTGTGTTTGTGCCTGAATATAGATTTTTCTTTAATCTCTCACTTCAATTTACAATCCACCTCAGACTTTACCTTCCAAGAATTCTCTATCCTTGTTCTCCCGTTACCTAGGCCCAATCCTCAGTAAATGTTTGTTGAACACACAAATGAATGAATGATATATCCCCCACAGCACACTGGAGCTTTTAGTTTTGTTGAGGTTGGAAAGGCTAGGGAGAGAACCACGTATACAGATACAGAACTGGGTATAACTGCTTAAATAAACGTGTTTCCGTTTTATTTTTATTTATTTATTTTATTATTTTTGTGTGTGTGTGTGAGGATCAGCCCTGAGCTAACATGCATGCCAATCCTCCTCTTTTTGCTGAGGAAGACTGGGCTAACATCTGTGCCTATCTTCCTCCACTTTATATGGGACGCAACCACAACATGGCCTGAGAAGTGGTGCATCTGTGCGCGCCGGGGATCCGAACCCCGGGGCCACCAGCGGCGGAGCGCGCGCACTTAACCGCTGCGCCACGCGGCGACCCCTATTTTATTTTTGTGTTATTCCGTTTTATTTCCTGGGATCCGGCAGGGACAGAGTTTGAATGTTCCATCCTTAATTTGTGGCTTGAGCAGTTAGGAGAAGGAGACAGTAAGGATCAGCAGGTAGATCAGAAGACAGCTAAATTGGCATTGTGATGTGCTGGGTTTGGAAGAGTTTCCTGGAGATTTTATTTAAAGAAAGATGTAAATTCTTCTGTAACTGGGGGATGGTAAACATTTTATGGATCGGAGATGGAAAATAAATTGTCTGGATATCCTTCCCCTTCCCCCATACCCATTGTTTGGAAAAACAGAAGGGGAAATAAAGAGAGAAATCCTCCCACTCCTCATCCCCACTCTCATCTCCACATCCACTTCCTCTTCTGAGAACCTAATTGACAAGGTGCCAAGAGGTGTTAGGACAGATTTTACTAACAGTGGTTTCAGATCTCAGTAAGTGATGATGGTGAGGGGGACTCAAAAAGATCTTGATAGGGATCCATTGAATGGGGATAAATGTAAAATCTGCTTGGGCCCCCCAAAATCAATGGCATCAGAGGGGGCCTGGGAAACACAGTTTAACAGTAACACAATGTATAAAAAGCCTCAGTGAGTCAATAGTGTGGTGAGGCCACCAGGGCAGCTAATATAATCTCAGATGACTGTAATAACACTACAGGATCTAGAATTCTCGTGATGGTACTCTTAGTCTGCTTGGCCCAGCCAAAGTGGATGCTTACAACCTGGAACAAATGGTCAACCTGGAACAAAGGGACTTGGAAATCCTAGCACATGTGGCATGATGTGAGAACTGAGGATATGATGATAGGAGGGTGTCATTTGGAAGGAATCTGTCTACTTGACTTTAAGAGATAGAAAACACACCTGTAGGTGAAATCTTTTTGGCGTCTACAAAGAGGCTAGAGGCCCCCCAAGGTAGAGATGTTGTCACTTACAGAGATGTTGAAGAACATATTCAGGCCTCTAAAAGGTGTCCTCCTGTCCATTGCCACTCTGGAATTCTATCAATAAGATGAGGGTTCCTCCATTTAAAAAAAGATTTGAAAACCACTTTCCTTTTCTAACATCTCAGTTTCTGCGACCTCCAGGACACACTCACGTAGCCCTTCCATTTCTGTAATGAAGCCGTAGATGGTGCCAACATGTGGAACTTGTTAAATGGAATTTTCACTTCTCCACCCCAGACCAAGTTACCATACTCTCTAGCTGGATTTCCTACACTCACCTCCCAGCTGGTATTTTCACACCCACTCTTACCTTCTACCAACCCGTTCACCAAAAGGTGGCCAGAGTGACCTTTTAAAAACAAATCGAGGGCCTGCCCGGTGGCATAGTGGTTAAGTTCACACGCTCCGCTTCGGCGGCCGGGTTCGCAGGTTTGGATCCGGGTCGCGGACCTATGCGCTGCTTATGAGGCCATGCTCTGGCAGGCGTGCCACATAAAATAGAGGGAAATGGGCACGGATGTTAGCTCAGGGCCAATCTTCCTCAGCAAAAAGAGGAGGATTGGCAATAGATGTTAGCTCAGGGCTAATCTTCCTCACCAAAAAAAAAAAAAATCAGATCCTGTCCTTCCTCTGCTTAGAAACCTGCACTGACTTTCCAACAAATCCTCAGTCCTTAAGTGGTTTCCATACTCTGTACACCGATCTCTACCTGTCCCTTCAATGGATTGGTGCCTGTTCTGTCCCCAGCTCTCTGCACTGCAGCCATACTGCCTCCTTGTGTTTCCTTGAGAGCCCTTGTACCTCCTGCCTCCCAGCCTTTGCACAGGTTGTTCTCACTGCCTGGAAAGCTCCCTTCACCTCCCCCCACTTCAGTTACCTCCTCCTTATCCTTCAGATTTCAGCTCAAAAGGGATGTGGATCAAGCCCCACGTTATACACTCTCGTGCACCCTGTACCTCTCCTTCCTAGCACTCATCACTGTTTCTAGCTGTGATTATTTCACCACTCTCTCTCCCCCATGAGACTGTAAGCTCTTGGACAGAGTGCACGTCTGTTTAGGTTGGCAGCTTATTTTGAGCACCTGACACAGTAACCAGCACACAGTGAGCCCTGGCTAAATACTGTCACCTCAGTGAGTGAAGGAAAGATAGGAATTTTAACCACATATGCTTCAAACTGTGGCAGAAAAACTCTTCCCATATTGGCATCTTAGGAACTTATTCAAGTTAGATATGTTAACTGAATTTACCTGGTAAAGTTAGAAAAAAAAGATGTTTGTATATCTACATGCATATAACAAAAGTGTATATATATATATATATTATACTGATATGAGCTTAATTTAAAAAACAACTTTTTACGCTAAGAAAATTTACAAGACTATTGAGGTCACATGCAAGGAAAATAGTCATGCTGGCTACAGAGTAGCTGTCTCACTCTATCTCTGCCACTGATAAACAATCTAACACGGAATAAGTTGGAATTGTCTGTCAAATGTGAATAAAATCTGGTATGTGTTCATATAGATATTAAAAGCAAAGCAAAGAAAGAGGCTTTGAAAGTCTGGGTTGGGGAGGTGGTACAATTCGTTGCTTCATTGTGATGAGCTAGGTGCCCACGGCCATGGAGCACATCGACGTCTGTTCTCTCTTTGTTCTCGGAGACTCGTTTGCCCTGCACAGCGAGGCTGCTCCCTGGGAGTCCTGGCCCTAGCGACCGGCTCAGGACAGCCCTTTAGGTGGCATGTCCTCTCTCACCTGCCCCTCTGGGCCCTCCTGAGTGTTTAGATCGGTCCGAGGTTGTAGATTGGTCCGAGGTGGCAACCTGCCCTCCTTGCAAACTCCAGTAGCACTGGAGGCAGAAACCAGGACTAAAGGGGGAACCACTTCAAGGAGCACCCTTATTTGAAAAGCTGGACCAGCCAGTTCTTTCTCCAAATTCACCAGAGTGATGGCAATCTGGTTTTCCTTTCTCCCCTCCTCCTTCCCTCTTTTCTTCCCCTCCCTGTGGGGTTTTCCAATGCCCACTTCATTTCTTTTCCTTTCTTTTTTATTTTTTTATTTTTTTTGTGAGGAAGATCATCCCTGAGCTAACAGCCGTGCTGATCTTCCTCCACTTTGTGTGGGACGCCGCCACAGCATGGCCTGACAAGCGGTACATCGGTGCGTGCCCGGATCTGAACCCGGGCCGCCGCAGCAGAGCGCGTGCACTTAACCGCTACGCCGCGGGCTGGCCCCTCTTTTCCTTTCTTATAATGTCTCTGTTTTCCAAGTTTTCTTCTTTCATCCCTTTGTCTCTTCCCTCCTCCTCCCCTGCCCTTGCCCTTCTTCAATCTGATCCCCTCTGTAGGCGCCAGCCCCTGACTGACACACTTAGTTAAATTAATGCTCCCCCACCCTCCAGAGAAGTCACTCTAGGAGGGCACCTTCTTGATCCCTGGTCATTTCTCAACTGGTTCAGCTCCTGCTCTGAGGTCAGAGGATGACAGAGTGGGGTTGTTGCAAAAGACGGAGAAGAAGATAAATTGGACAGTGTGTCAGCACTGCCACACGGCATTTCTGCTGCTCTGAGAGCTTTTGTAATCTTGAATGTGTTTAGGGCTATAGGGCTTCTTTATAATCACTAATGAAAATAGCTGTAGGTCAAAAGAAAAACTATGAAACAAGAAATAATAATAATAACAAATGAAAGTAAATTAACTCTGAAATCACAAGTTCAAAGAATTGCCTTCAATTCTTCACCAGAAAGTACAAACGGCCCCACTCTTTTGGCTCAGGATGCTTGGGAAAGCCGGGAAGCTCTGACAAGCTTCCCTCTTTGTTTTCTCTGAAAGGACATCTTTCTAGGAGATCTTTTATCTTCCTTTGAGAAACTGTCTCTAGGAACTATTGGCCCTTATTTAATGTGACTAATAAAGGGAGATGTCAGAATGTGACAGGACAGCTCTTGGGCAGCTCACCACTGTCTGTGTTGGACCATATGTGATTATTCCTTCTGGAGAGGCTGCTGGCTGCAGTACCTGGTTCCCAGGTGCTCCTGAAGAAATTGTGAGTCAGTAGCTGATGAGATTTGGGTCTTTCAGTGGATGATGAGTAGATGAGATTTTAGATTTAGAGTTGATGCTGGAATGATTGAGGCTTTGGGGATGTTGGGTGAAGGTATTTTGCACATGGGAATGACATGAATTTGGGGGGCCAGAGAGTGGACTCTTAGGGGTTGAACTGTGTCCCCTCTAAAAATTATGGTGGCATCCTAACTCCTAGTACCTGGGAATGTGACCTTACTTGGAAATAGAGTCTTTCCAGACGTAATCAAGTTAAAATGAAGTCATTAGAATGGGCTCTAGTCCATGGCTAGTACCCTTATAAAAAGGGGAAATTTGGACACAGAGACTCCCCGAGGAGAGTCTGTCAGGTGGTCAGTGGATGAACCACTTTTAGAACCGTGGAGGTCATGGAAAACAGGTAGATTTTGAAGCCAGACAGTCCCAGATGCAAATTCTGGGTCTTCCTTTACCCTGTGACCTTAAACACTCAATATGTAAAAAGAGGGACACATACCTTTCTCAAGGTTACTGTAAGGATGAGCTGAGACTGTGTGTAAACCATGCAGCACGGGGGTGGGGGGGCACTAGGTAAGCAAGAGCTCTAATTGTCGTTGAAGATGAAAGTGCTGTGGACCTGGGCTTCCTTTGTCATAGTAACTTTCAGCCTGAAGATGCCCTTTTACCTGTGGAACCACTACTTCTCACCACTCGTGGATTTTTAAAGCTGGAAGGGCACGTGGAGGCTCTCTGTTCACCCCTGAATATTGTGAGTCCGGGACTTGAGGCCCAGAGAAACAAGTGATTGCGCAGCCCGCCTAGCTTGCTCTCACCTGAGGCCCCTGAGAGCCCGGCCAGCCACCTTCTCACCTGCTCACATGAATTAAACATCATTCTCACTACCATCAGTGAGATCCTCTTTTGTCACTTGCCAGTGAATTTGGGGTGATCTGTGCCTTGTTTAGAGTGACCAATCCGAGAGAGTCGAGACAGTTTAGGGAGAAAAGCGTTGCCCAAGACGCTAGCGCTGCAGCAGGAGCAGGAGGAAGTCCCCACCCAGCCCTGGTGCAGCTGCTGGTTTTGCCACCTCAGAGCTCACATGGTCCCCCTTCTGTTTAAGCTCCCATGTCCCATCTGAGATCAGAGCCTCACCTGGGGGCTCAGCCTGCCGTTACCTGGGGCGTGTAAAAGTAAACATTTTAAAGCTTCTAAATAAACTATTTGACTTAATATTGTAAACATGCAGCTGCAAGAGCCCTCAGACATACCTGAGGACAACTTCCTACTTCTAGACCAGTCTCAACCAGGATCGGCCCTCCTCCGAATAATCTCTTTGGTACACAACAGCCCAGGCCTGTGAGAACAAAGACAGCTCCGCATGAACCACAGTGACTGCCAGGGAGGAGGCGGGATCCGATAGAGCACATGGGGCACCACATGGGCCTGGGTCCGTGAGCGTATTGATGATAACATGCAAGGAAGAACTTCATCCATTCGAATGAAAATAAAAAAAGACCTGGAGGTGCCTCTAATCCTGGTTCTAAACATGTTGCCTTTCCTGATTGCCCTCTCACTTTGCCGTCATGCTTCAGAAAACAAAAAACCTAAATTCTGCATGCTCTTCCCATCTTAAGTTCCATTTATTCTCAGAGATTTCAGACCAAAGCAAGAGACTTTGGGCCTCCAAACCCTGTTATCACCTTCCTGCATCTTCCTGTTCACCTCATAACCCTCTGAGACATGCTCACTTATATCACAGAGCTCTATCAGATTCTGAGGGGGAGTGGAAGTTCATCGGTCCTGGTGGTTCCCAAACCTGGCCTGACCAGAGTAACGAGGATCAGCTGAGTGTGGGAACCAGCGACCTATGGCCCCCTCATGTTACAGAGGAAGAGCCTGAGGCTGCGAACGCTTACACGAGTCATCTAAGGTCATACTGCTAGGCTCGCCAGGGTCACACTGCTGGGCTTATCCAAGGTCACACTGTTAGTAGGCATCGATGTTCTCATTGTCCAAGCTCAAGATGACCCTTGAGATCCACCAGCCCTCTGTTTCTGTGCCAGACACAAATTCTTTGCTGGGGCTGGGAACCCGGGGAACCACAGGTTAGCCCCGTTTGTCCATTCTCCAGTGCGGTCTTGCCACCTCTGGGCTCTGCCAGTGACCAGGACACAGTCCCCACTGATGAAGCTGCAGATGTCTAATCCTCTGCTCCATGGGAAAGGCCACCTCCTTTAATCTCTCCAGTGACTGTAGGCTGTCATAAAACAAAGAAAGAGATATTCCCTTCATACTGTTTCTCCTTTGGGTGTTGGCAACATCACCCGGGCAAAGAAATGTGGAAAGCCCATTTTCGGATGTGAAACGTCTAGGGAGAACAAACAAATTGTCTCAATAAATTGTCCTGCTGTGCTTGTTTGGATCCCCAAAGGCATTCCCAGAACCTAGTGCCTGGTTGACAGCATGTCTTTAATGAGGATTTGGGAAAAAAATGAAAGTTGAATCTTGGCTGGCTCAAGGGTTTTGCAGGTCATGCACTGCACAAATCTGGAGGATCCCATTCCAACAGATCTGGTTATTTATTAAGATAGTTTTCTGAGAGATATTTTGTGGAGTGTCTCGGAAAGGGGAAGCTTTTTTCTAATTTGTACAAATTCTTAAGATCTAGTGGTGGCCTGTACCTGTTTTTATATTTCCTCATTAAATTCCTTAAATGCAACAAATGGTAAAACATGAGCAAAATATTGAGAAATCAAAACTACTTTTTGTTTGATAAAGATACTGTGAGATATTTTTGACTTTATTAATTCACATGAACCACATTCAGAAGCTTAATATTTTAAAATGATGAAAATGAATTGCAGAAGAGTAGGAAATAAGGACAGAAGCAGAAGTCAGAATTAAATCATTCCTGCTCAAAGTTATAATCAAATCCATTATGCAAACGAGTTGTTAATATCATGTCTGCATAATTCGTGGTTATTTGTAACTATGAGTATTTGTAGATATTTATGAATAAACTGTTCCAAAATGGTGTTTTTTTAAAATAAAATTTATGTCTTCATCTCTTTCTTGATGAAGTCTAAACACTTTTCTTCTTATTTTGTCTGCACTAATGATTGAAAGTGGATTTTTCTCCAACTGACTAGGGTAGCTTGCCTCTATATGAAGACCGTTATCAAAGGACACCTTTGTGCTCTTAAATTAAAGAAAATACTCTCCTTTTTATTTTTTCACAGATCATATGTCAAAGGAGCCAGTGGAGGACACAGACCCTAGCACTTTATCCTTTAACATGGTAGGTTTTACAGGAATGGTGATGACTCTTGTTTTTCCTTTTTTCCGTTTGTTATTTCTCTACAATTTTATTACTCAGTATTTACATGAAAATCAGAAACCCCCAAATAAGATTTTCCCAAGATAAATTTCTTTATCATGGTATTATCTGTGACACAATAAATTTTGTGTTTCTCCAGGCTAAAAATGGTGTTAGACTCTGTTCTTGTTTTGCACATATCAGAAGTGTTCTTCTTAGATTATGTGAGGTTTTGTCTACTTTATACTGTCTATTTTTATTTATTTATTTATTTATTTATTATTGATGTCATAATAGTTTATAACATTGTGAACTTTTAGGTGTACATTATTGTTTGTCAGTCACCATATAAATGCGTCCTTTTACCCCTTGTGCCCACCCCCCAACCCCTGTCCCCCTGGTAACCACCAAACTGTTCTCTCTGTCTGTGTGTTAGTTTATTTTCCACATATGAGGGAAATCATGTGGTGTTTGTCTTTCTCTGTCTGGCTTATTTTGCTTAACATAACACCCTCCAGGTCCATCCATGTTGTTGCAAATGGAGCGATTTTTTCTTTTTTTGTGGCTGAGTAGTATTCCATTGTATATATGTGCCACATCTTCTTTATCCAATCATCAGTTGAGGGACGCTTAGGTTGCTTCCACTTCTTGGCTACAGTGAATAATGCTGCAGTGAACGTAGGGGTGCATAAGCCTCTTTGGATTGTTGATTTCAGGTTCTTTGGATAGATACCCAGTAGTGGGATAGCTGGATCATAAGGTATTTCTATTTTTAATTTTTTGAGAAATCTCCATACTGTTTTCCATAGTGGCTGCACCAGTTTGCATTCCCACCAGCAGTGAATGAGGGTTTTCTTTTCTCCATAACCTTTCCAACATTTGTTATTTTTTCTCTTGGTGATTATAGCCATTCTAACGGGTGTAAGGTGATATGTTAGTGTTTTGATTTGCATTTCCCTGATACTTAGTGATGTTGAACATCTTTTCTTGTGCCTATTGGCCATCTGTATATCTTTCTTGGAAAAATGTCTGTTCATATCCTCTGCCCATTTTTTGATCGGGTTGTTTTTTTGTTGTTCAGTTGTGTGAGTTCCTTATATATTATGGAGATTAACCCCTTGTTGGATATATGCTTTGCAAATACTTTCTCCCAGCTGGTGGGTTGTCTTCTCATTTTGATTCTGGTTTCATCTGCCTTGCAGAAGCTCTTTAGTTTGATGAAGTCCCACTTGTTTATTTTTTCTTTTGTTTCCCTTGTCCATGTAGACGTGGAACTTGAAAAGATCCCTCTGTGACCAATGTCAAAGA